ATATATATATACTATATATGTTCGACTGACTAATGGATAATAGGGGAGCCAGTGACTTGGCCCCTCATTGTCGATCTCTCGATCTCCTTATGACTCACTGTGTCTGCAAGGCCATGTTTTCTTGAGCTACATGAATGCAAACAACTCAAAGACGTCTTGTACTGTAGTTACATTCGACATTATCAAGGCAAACTATGCCGTACGTAAGCTAAAATTTATAGTGTAAAGAAACGTCAGTAAAAGGCTTAAATGGAAAAAAAACAGAGTAATTCGTTCTCAAGAAAGTGCGCTTCAAAAATGAATTAACAAATTCTTGAAAATTTGATCATTGAAATCACTGTTTTCCGCTGGTATTTTTTGAATTCTATCATTAATGATATCAAAATAGCCATGATTCCATGTGTCCATGTTTCAAATGTCTTTAATAAACTCAAAATAAACTTTCCTATCGAAGTGGAGAGTTTAAGGCTATTATATCTGCCCTCAGGTGCTGAACAACTCACTCTTTGACCTCCATGAAAATGATGGTGCAGAACTGGAGAAATTAAAATTCATGACATGACAGGATTCCCCACAAGCAATCATATGGTCTTCATACGAAATTCGTGGCTGAAAGAAATAAACGTCCAAAAATCTGGTAATTTACTTAAAGAATTCACTCACATGAGTACATTTTTATGAAGTGGTAAATCTATCGAAATGTGAAGTATATGTAGAAATAACGCTATACTTAAAGTAACTGGCTTCAAAGAAAAGAAAATTCAAACAACCTCTGAACCAGTCTCTAAATCAAGAAAGTGATTGGAGGCAGGAGCTTACATGGGTTCAAGTAGAGACCTAACAATGAAAAAAAGTATCTTCGAGCGAACTATTGTTGGATTTGACCGAAAAACAGCACGAGGTATGAATCGGTCATAGTACAGATTGTTGTGAAAATTCTTGATTCGATCTCTGCACAGTGGGGTGACTAGGAAATATGACTGAATTAGATGGCGGTTGCTGAATGGGGCAACTGACGAGCCTGAGCAAAGTGGAAAGGTGCACGACAGCACGTAGTTTTCGGAGCACGTGTTCGTTCCATTACTTCACAATCCAGAAACAAACCGTGACTTTTGAAAAGGACGGCTGTGTGATCAGAAGCTTTTTGACGAGGCGTCCTCAAAATAAACGAAAATCGAGAATGAACATGACTGTACAGGTGCTGTTTCTCATTTCACCAATTCTTTCCGAGACGCTCAACATCCATTGCCTCCCTCTCTACCGTTTTCACTATTGGAAATTCGTCGATGCAGTCGCACTAGAATATTCTTCATCTCTCTTGCTAAAATTGATACTCCCTCGAGTTCCCTTATATTTACTTGACATCATTGTCGCCGACAACAGCTTTGTTTTTTTTTNTTTTTTTTATCGGTTTTCGAAAACTGGTGGTCATATTACTCTATGAAATTGTAGAACCGTACTAATCCAATCGCGCACCTGCACAATGTCTCTATAGATGAGAAATCCATAAGATAGTGGATAATCGGCTTCTTCTTTCGATAGAGGTTCATTTTGAAAAACGAAGTATTTCTGAATTGTTGCGCAGCTGAAAGATTCAGGTTTCATACAAATAGTCATGTACACTTTGCATGACCTCTGACAAACTGAAGAGGAAGAATTTAAAGAAAAAGGGCAGGACTCACATGTTGCCAGAGTGAAATAACTCATTCTCGATGAAGTGATATTGAAAGTCCCAGTATTTGTACTTTTGAAATTCACGTCCGCCAGTGAGTACTGCATCACAATTCAGATCAATAGATTCAACAACTGTACCAGGAACATACCTGAAGTCTGTCCTTCATGTTGCGCATCCAAACGTCATTGTAAAGCGAGTGGTAAGGGATTAATAGAATTGCAAATATCGGAAATGTCTTACACATTATACGATGCCAGTTTTTGGGTATAAACTCGAACCATGAAATAAAGTATAGACGACAAACAAAGTAGCCGAGGCGTTTGCTTATTCACGAGCGATCCAAACTGTTGGAGGTACTTTGCTGACACTCCATAATCAAAATAAAGTCTGAGTGGTTGAGATACTGGACATGAAATTTGGACTACTCGAGTCGAAGAAAGGCTCCTTGGAAGAATACCGTTTTCTCCCATTTCAAGGCTCGATAGCTTCCATCACCTGTAATGATGTGAAATTCTGATGATTCAAGAGAGGTACCAGGAGTATTTTACAGTGTGAACATTCATTACATTCGTGGCAAAAATCATGATGACATAGCGTACAAGCTAAGTCCGTTTGTCTTTTGCTAGTTAGCTTAGACCGATATGGCCGAAATCAATAAGGCTCACCGAAAGTGAAAATGTATCCTCGTTCGAGCTTTCAACTAAAATAAGGAAGGAAGGTTGTGGAGTGGTAACAAGGAAGTCTTTTCTTTTCGGAGGTAGACCTTTCCTGGCTACAATGTCTTTTTGTTCCGGTGACTTTAAAAGCTCAAGCCAAGATAAAAATTGATCGCCAACGACAGCTCTTGATGGGAATACTCGAGAAGGATCTTTTTGAATGGAAGATTGATTAGTTTTTTCTGTTAATATGTATATCTAATGAAAAATATCGGTTTGCGAATATGATAGGATGCCAACGGAAATATTGTGCTGTATAGTCGTCGTATAATATATTCTGTTATGAGAGCCCCTCACTTCGGCGCGGAAAACACTTGAAGAATTTTTCACCAACGTCAGGTCCCCAAAAATGAATAGGAAGGACGAGTGCTCAGCCGTAGCTAGTGAACTCGTTCCTTTTTCTGACCTCTGTGGGTTTTATACGCCTCCGGTATCACGGCGAGAGGGATAGGGCATATTTTCTGAAGCTACCCCCAAGGCCCTATGGGTCGGTTTGACGGCGGTTGTCCGAACGACCTGTTGTTGCTGGAGGTGGGTTAAATGTTTTTAGGGTTACCAATGCCCAACCGGAAACATTGGGTCTAGGGAACTGGTTTTTGAAGTTGAATTGTTGAATGAGGAATGGATAGCGATTATCTTTAGGTTTTCAACTCTGGAGAAGGCGCGATAACTCCGAAGCGTAAGGTAATAAGAAACTATTTCACTCTTGGTAACTGGTTTTACAAAAGTTAAAAATAGTCGCGTACTAATTGGTAGCAGGTTTTGAACACAACCAATTCGAGTAGTAGAATTTCCCAAATAGCGAGAGCAATGAAAAAAGACCTTGTCATGGCCTGTTTCTTTATATCTTTCTCGAAAATCGTCACCATCTCCAGATCGACCTTGCAAATCTTTAGAGTCTGATGTAAGGACATTTTAGATCTTATCAGAGCAGTTTTGAAATATGGTAGGGGGAACGTTCTTTCTGCCTTTTCCGAACTTGACCTACAAAAAGGATGTTCAATGTTGCTTTCGGTGGATAGTATATATATATACAACCTCAACCTAATATATATTATATATATATAATATATATTAGGTTGAGTAGAAATTTTTATCGGTTTTTCATTTCCACTTTAGAAAGTCTTATTTCATTCAAAGAGGATCTCAATTAGTGATCTAGCCTCCATCGTTGGACATATGTCCGACGATCCGGCATTTCTTTGATTCGTGAAGTATAGAACGGCGGCGACCGCGATTCGAAAAACTTGGAAGTCCCAGTTTTGAGTTCCGAGCAACCGTCAAAATTTTTATTGCAAGGTGATGTTTCAGAGCAAGAAACAAACGGTTCAGATGGAGCGAGACCTGGCAAATAAGGAGAACGGGGTAGCGTTTTCTTCCCAAGTTAGGCAATTTTCTGACGAGACAGTTTCGCAACATGCGATCAAGCGCTGTCGTGAAGAAGGCAAAGATCTCCCCGCTGCGGACAATTCCTTCGAAAAACGTCAGCCAAATTCCGTTGATGAGAAGCATATGACGGTGTGAATGTGGACGGTTGTACTTGTGCTTGTGAGCTTGTGAACTTGTGCTGTCACGACATATCTACATATATGTCGTGATAGCACAAGTTGCGGTAATGTTTCACGCACACGTACATCGAGTTGAAGAAAACAGGTTTGCAAGCCTCGCGCAACCAGAGTGTACCTAGTCTATATGCACGAATGATTAGTGGGGTCTACAACAAGGTCACGACCAGTTTTCACGATTCTACAGGAGGTCAATGTCATGGGGATGTAGCGGATTGACAGGGCGGCATCATCTCAGCCAAACTTTTCAGCACTTCTCTCCAAAACATCATGCATAGTTGGAATGAAAAGACATGGAAGCGAATTTCAACTTCCAACATCCGCATTATCTCGTCTCTACGGAGGCATTATGCTAATAATGCAGGACTTCGAGAAGGCGAGACATTTGCTGGCCGAATTTGGCAGCGCCTGAGGAAAGACCGCCCACGACCGAACCCAACGAAGACAACGCTCACGAAAGTTCCACTGGTGCCTGATGCTACCCTTACGCTAAACGGAGCCAAAAACTCCGGGAGACCTAGTAATGTGTATCTAGGTCGATAAGTAAACATAATAAACGACATATCCCTGTGCTAGGTAGAGGGAAATGCGCGGCGTTGGATGCTGTCAAGAACATCGAATGAATAGTAAGAAGACAAAGGAGATCCAGCTCTGCGCTCACCTTATAGACACTGCGGTCCTTCCTGCTTCGATATATGCAGAATGAACATGCAGTCAGCGTCATTCAACGTACCGTGGAGAGGACGATGTCAGGTTCTCCATGTATCCAAGTGCGAAATTGAACTTGGAGTGTACACAATCATATGCACACTGTCACAGGGCTCATTGAAGTATTGCGAAAAAATAGGATATTCATCGATCAACTTAGTTATAAGTTATGTCTGATATCCACCACTGGCTGTCCAGTTACCTGCAGCGCTTTCTGGACTGAAAAAGTGAAAAACGAGGACGAGATCAAGATGATCTCTCTCCACCCTTCTGAAAGCATGGAATCGACAAGCCACTGAGCGTTGACGTCGAGTAGTAGAAGTGATTGTCCATACCTCTGATCTTCAAGCTGGTTCGCTACTGAATTATTCACAGAAAAGTCGGTAGAAAATTTATGAATCGATCTATAACTGTCTTCACAAGGTACTTCTGTCCGAAGCAATGTCTGCTCTCGAAACCAACTCTATGACAACTCTGGCGTCTGCGAATCGTCGCTGTGCAGTTGATTCATCTGATTTGGTC